TCGATAACACTTGGTCATTGTGCTAGGAACTGAAGGGTGGGTATGAGAATGCACCGGGTGTGGGTTTTATGCCATCGAACATTGTCCCGATGTATTGATGATGTTGTTACTAGAAAAAAAAAAAGAAACAAATCAGCCACAGGTGACCGAGAAAAAAATTGCTTCTACATTAAATTACTCCGATCAAGTAAATTGGAGGTAAAAATTGGGGAATTCTACCTGCTGAGGGATATTATAACGATAGCTCAATGTTGCATTTCCTCTGTTCATGGTCTAACGATTTCGCACATACATCAGCAACACGAGTTGAATTTTCAGGCAGCTGACGAGGGAGAATTTACGAGTCCAGGTACTTACCGTTAATCCAACCTATCTCCTTCTCTCATACACATATGAGTATTACATACGCCAACTGTGTGACATATTCACACGTAATCTATGGAGTTTGTACCCACCATCTCCACGTTTCACTTTTCTCCGGCCCACGTGTACACCAAACTAGTTCTCACTGCGAAACATTTTAGATACATCCGACTAGATATTTCGTCTAGTTATTTTTGTGTCACACTGAATTTACGATGTGCGGGCTTGAGGTAATGGCGAAAAAATTGAGATTCGTATCGGGGGTTATTGTTACTGCCAATTGCATCAGTCCTTCAATGTATACCAGTCCATGAACAATTGTTATGTATTATTATTGGGAGCGATATCTAAAATTTTAGGGAGAAATGGGCTTGAGAAAAGGATAGAGTGGGTTTTGGAATGAGAAAAAAAAGGGGATGCAAGTATAATTGTGTGAGGAGTGAAAATTGCAGAGTGGATGAGATAATGGAGCAAATGTCACTGGGGAAAAGTGGAGAAAGTCATAAGTGCAAGGGGTGAATGTCCGCTGAGTAGTAGACCCAATTGTCCGCTCATCCGGAGTGTCGCGTTCTCTTTTTAATGGCGAGAGTGAGATTTGGCGCTCATTATGTTCTCATAGTTTGAGGTAAAACCATTTTACCAACTGTTTATTTATCCAGTGTAAATTGCCGGTGGTGTTATTCTGACACAATCAATTGTTATGGCATGCCGGAAGAAAGTTGGCGAAATTCAAGTGGCACAATCGCACCTCGAGCAGCCATCGCTAAACGATATTCGAGACCCAGAGGTATCTGAAATGCCTACGCGGCCGCATTTTCAGCTCGTAAATGCGTACAGACACCCTCAACTTTGATTATAGCAATCTCAACCAACTAGTTGAACTAGCCGAGCAAATCCTAGTGTTGGCGACACTGCACATTCCATTGTAGTCAACTGTTGGCTAATAGATACTCGTTTGTTCCATATCAATGACACAAGTTTTCAATTGAGAAGAAGACATTTTTCACAACGATTCCATACACCATTTTATTTTAGTCTCAAGATGAAAAAATTCTATCGGGAAAGGGAAATTAGGGAAATTAATAAAAACCGTTACGGTCAAAATAAATAAAAATCTGTTGTGGATTTCGTTAAAAAAAAAAAAAAAACTCACCACAACTTTCACCGTTTTTGCCATCTGAATCACAACATTAAATAGTTTATCCATACCGATTATAAAATAACAATAATCGTACAACATAAATATTATCATTCAAGCTCCTTGATCCCCTTATTTTCACTTTTTTCATAATTAACCTTGCGATCAAATTATTATCAAACAATAAATCGATGCAGGCCGTTGTATTACAAAATCATTATTAATTACATCTGTTGCGTTACACCCTCAATTACGAGAATTGGCAATCTTTATCATTATTGTTAACATTCGTGACTATATAGTGTAGACACTGGAATTACATGTTTTTGCCATTTCGTGTCGAAGCGGAATTCGCCGTAAACTGCAATTCTTATTCATACATACGGTTATTATGTAATTACGAAGTTTATTTTCACCGGGAAATAATGAAGAAAGTTTGGCGAGTGTTTCCTTGTTTCCACACGGAGAAGAAAAAATGCGAAAAACCATAGAATTTTTCAGAAATCCACAGAAAATGAGGGGAACAATTATTTAAAAGCAAAATTTATTTCAAGATAAAGCCAATTCAATAAACGATCGGGTGTTTATAGGTTGTGCAATCCAGGATCTCCGGATAAAATTTTTCCTCAATCAACTTGAATAATCACATAGAGCTGCAGGGGTGCAAAATCCTATTGCGTGACACATCGATGTATGTTATCGATAAAGCCAATGAATATTCAATTGACATGGGAGTTGTGGTCCAAGCGCCCGATGCCGATAGATAACTTGTGAAATATCTAATAATTACCCGGCAATTTCGGTGCCGCGTGATCAACAACTCCTTATCGGCATTGTCATTCCCTCAATCTAATTAACATATTCGATGTCTCGAACGCTAATCACTCATTTGTATTCATCTGCAGGTTGGGATTGACATATCGCTGGTTTGCAAACATTATTCAATGGATATTTATTGACGATAAGAACTAGTGGTCGTTGTTCTTCATAGATACCGCGATCATTGCCCCCTTTCCCGGTCAATATTATATCACTGACTTTTCATTATTTGTCTCCACTATCTCCAGTCATTAGTCGTTCCATCAAAATAGTTAAAAAATTAGAGACAAAGAGATTTGCAAGATATTCGCAAATAGAGTTGAGAGTTAGACATGTCAGTCTCCACCAAAAAATAGTTCTACACTTTAATCAAAGTAGCGAGTACATTTTTTTTCTTCTCGATGCACTGGAGAAAGTGCGCATGCTTCTCAATACTGAAATAATCATCCTCCGCTCCCAGATTTTCGTGCTCAACCCATTAAAGCCGATCCATAAATTAATCTCAGAAAATTCCCATCAAGTGCTTTCCATTGGCCAATCGACGTCTTCCCTTTTTAGTGCTACTAACTATAAATGAGACCGGAGTGTTATAACAATGTGCCAGATTAAACCAAGCCATGGAGTCATCGACCGACGAACCTGAATGCAGTAAAGATTCAAAGCTTGCACATCTAAATCCGTTGCAGAGTTCAACGGCCGTACAACAGCCGCATCAACTCGGGTCAATCTCTATTTAAATTCCAAATCCTTTGGCGTTGTCATGGGTCGGAATCTTCTACTCATCTCCAAATACTCAAACTCGAACAGGGAATTATTATTTCAGGTGGAGAGCCTGCACTCCGATCATCTCTCGCCATTCCTATTAATTCTTGAGAATCTTCCAACTTGAGAAAAACATTTTACGGAGAAATTTTACGGGAAATAACGGCAAGTGTGAATTTTTCTCAGTGTATCTCTTCAAGCACCGAGTAAACACCGAACTGGCCCAAATTCACAATTTGCGCAATAACACTCTCCCAACTTTTTTCGCTGACACACTGGCCGCGTCAGCGATTATTCTGTTTGATGCGTCACAACATGTTGAACTCATATGGCAACAACAAAAAATCAGAGATGTAAACACAAGGAATAATCCATCATGAGAAAGGAGTATCCGAAAAATGACAAGCAGTTTGAGCCCGAGCCCCAACAGATTCGGTGTCTGTACGATTTCATGGATCAACCGACAAACGTCGAGGATCTCAGGGGGGTACCAAAAGACGACCTCCTCAAAATCTAAAACGGCATCAGCAGGTTAGTCGACCAATTGAATTGACAAACTCAGCGGGAAAACTCGTCGAAATTTTTGCGCCCACTCCACCCTCACTCCATCCATCTCCAAAGGGGTGGGAATAATTTACGGGTAGTAGCACAGACTATTGGGGAATTTATGACCGAGTGCATGAAGAGAGTGTGAAAACCGCATGGTCATAAAATTTTTGGCCACAACCCTATGACCGCACTAACCCCTCATAAATTTTCCATTTGACGAGACATCCTGACTCGTCCTCATTCCAATATTCTCGTGATATTGAAACAATTGTCTTCTGCGGTCGGAGGATTATTCCTACCCACCGCAATAAATCAATTCTCCACCCATTGCTTTGTCCCCACATCTCTCACAAGAAAAAGAAAAAAAAAATGCATAACGGAAGTTCCTCGAGAGAAACCAGTTGAGCGACTCTCACCAAAAAACTTCCATCGAGAGCAAAAGTATGACGATAAGGAAAAAAAAAAGCTAAACATTTTTCGTAGACGAAGACCCGTCTAACAGCCTTGCCTATCGTCACTATTCTCCGAAGTTGAGTTGGAATAGGCCATCGACTTTACCGCTAATTCGCCAACTGTTTGGCATTCTCCTCTGTCTCACCTGTCAAACAATCCGATTCACGCAATTTTCGTCGTGCGTGGGTGGTACTTTCACTTTCTCAAAGTACAGCGGATGAATTCTCTTTGTCTCTGCCAAAACAATGATTTATCGAGTATGAACGACAGCTCACTCCAATTGTATCTAAATCGAGAAAGCTGTAATTGCTGTTATGACCAGACAACTACGAACATCTCATCAACGACGTGAACTCGTCTTGAGGCTCTTGTAAATCCTTGATCCTAATGATGGGTCAACCGTGCCAATTGGCCGATGCGGCTGAACCCGATTCGTTCTAAAATTCCCCACGCCTTTGATAAACGCAACTCCAAGGTACTCCAATCAACATACAGCAAAAATTAAATAGTTCAAATTGACGTCATCTGCCACACGCTCAAATTTTCAATGATCGAATTGTCTCATAGACGATGTGTAGCGGTCGATTGAAAAATAGTGAGATGGAGGGAATTGTGAGGTAATTTTGAGGAGAATCGCGGAGAAGGCAAAAGTATGATTCAAGATAATGGCGATATGTTAGTCGTTCACCCGGTGATAACATTCGGATTATCTAATCGACAAATGGCAATAACCGAAAAATAATTTGGAAAAATAGTGAGAGGGAGGGAATTTTGAGGTGAAGGGGGAGGAATCGGCAAGAGGCTGAGGAGGCTCAAGAGGCTCAAGAGGCTCAAGAGCACGAGGCAAATGGCAAGTGGCGGCGGTGGTGAAGTTGTATTTGGCGCAAGCGCGCTAACGTACGTTATTCCGACGCGGTCAAGTCACTCGCGCACCGCACGCCATACACAACCCATCACGCTCTTTTCCTCGCTACGGCCAACCACGCGGTCAACTGTAATAACCCCCTAGTAAACAATTTCATTATTCCAATTTATCATTATCACCAATCATTTGATCCTCATTAAATTGCCAGCGGAAGCAGCGAGGGCAGTGAACAAAGTGCCGAGTGTTATTGTTTTACTGATTTTTTTTTTTTTTCGTCAACGGACAGTTGTCAACTGTTGTCACTGACGGAGCCCACAGTTCCTGATGAAAATCCTCAGGATCCTCAGTTCCAATGAGTGATGACGAAGACTTTGGTTTTAATTGAGTGAATTTGGTGTGGCATGTCAGTTCTCACGCGGGGACTGAAGACCGTATCAGTGGCCAGTTGAACATCATCACTTGGTTCAACAACAAAACGATTGTTCACGTGGTATGATAGACAGGCGGGTGGAGGACTGGTGTGTTCAAGCAATGACTGTACAGGAATTTAAGCCGCGAGGGGCTGGAGATGGACAGCCAGCTGGTGATATTCTCTCACCACCTGAGGTACTTGATAACGACAAGGAAGCCGGTTATCGGGAGGTTTTTCTACCCCAGGACAGCGAAAATCTTCTCGGTCGAGTACTAGCTGGTGAGCAAGTCTTTCAATATAACCTCCCAATCACTCGACTGTACTGTCAAAAATGCCTAAAAATTCAATTGTAAAAAAAAAAAACAATCTGAAAAGTCTCGCAGCAGGCGCTTAGCGAGCGGAGGCGGCAGTTTCACTTTCCAGCGCTGGAATGTAGGTCGAGGGACCCGGGACGAGGCTAGTTCGTTGCCCCTCGACGGCCTTCCACTCGGTGTGCCGCTATTTTTTTTCCCCTCATTTCTTATCCCCCACTCGTGTTACGCGCACACTCGCACTATTGCCCCCGCAATACGCAAGTATCCGTGTATGTCTGCGTGAAACAGCTCTAGCCTAGATAAACATACCGAGCAGCACCCCCTCCATTTGTTCGTGGGTACCTCACATATATGAGGGGGGAAAGAGGGGGCCCCCACCCAGGTCGACATCCCATCGGGCTGAGAGCGGGCAACTGGCAGGAAAGTGGGTCGACGGGGCCTTGGCGCGAGGCTAGTTCGTTCACCCTGCCTCGACCCGTAACTGGGGCAAGATGAAATTAACCGAGGTATCCCCCACCACTCAATTAATCTCCCTCTCGCTCACTCCCCCTAGAATATTCTCGGAGTGGGAGTGGGAGCCGAGGGAGGGGTGACTCAGGGGGCTGGTAACACTCTGCTCTCTGGATCACTCTCTCGCTTACTTTAGCATGTACTCTTTCAACAGATACAATCGCACTCATGAACGTGTACATGGTAATGCGCCCAGCACTCGAGTCTACAGAGTTCAACAAACTTCAACTGGGACTCGGTAATATCCCCCACCCAACTTGCCCTCCCCTTCGCGTTCTCTTCCTCGCGAATAAATCCCCACCCACGTAGCCACCATCGAAGGTCACACGCTTCTATTACTCACATCGCCGACTTGGGAGACTAACTCTTGGTTTACGTTTTTTTTTATCAATTTTTTTTTCTCGTTTTTTTTTTTTCGAGGATCCATGGGGCCCCGGGGCCAAGGGATGCCGTTATGTAACAGGCTCTTGTGAGATTCCTTGGATGTTTTTTTTCAGTGGTGAAAGTGGCTAATCCAAGTCCCTGATCACTCTCGCTTACACCGCTTTTACTTCCACCTCCCTTGGTTCGTGATGAAGACGTCGTGGGCTTTCACCGGGAGGCAAGACCCGTCCGCGTTTTCCGCCCGGTGCACTGACCTGCCTCACTGCCACGGTCCGGCGTGAGGTTTTTTCTACAAACCCATTTTTCGGGGACTAGGGCAAGCAGACCTAGAGGCCTAGGGAATTTTTACTAAACCATTTCATTTCTGGTGGTTTCAAAATCAAAATTGAATATTTTAATTTTTTTGATGCAATTAATTAAATTCTTTGAATTGTGATTTACATGAATGAAAAATTTACATGAAGACCCTTGGAGTCGAATGCTTTTATTATCACCTCCCGCTTGAGGGTCAGGTATACAAATTTCGGGTGATGACCATAAGCGAAACCCTTGCTGAAAATCTTTAGTACCCATCATCGCAGTTAATCCTGCATTACCCTTTGCATTTCCAAATTTCTGAAAATGCATTTTATTTTCCGATATTTTATGAGTCCCCCCAATATATCTCCCGAAAATTGTCCTATCTTCACTCAGGTCTGAAAAACGGCGAATAAAAAAAAATGTAAAAACTCCAGAGATTCATGTATTTTTTTTTTAACGTAAAAATCCGTGAAAATTTTGAATTTTACGTATAAAGGAGGAAATTGATGTAACGACGGGGTAAAAAAAGTGGTGGGTCGCGTGTTGTGTGTCGAAATAAATTTGTGGCCTCCGGCGTCTTCTCGTCGTCCCCTCGCCAATCGGGTATTTTCTAATTGCGTTGTGCTAACCTCAAAAGCAAGCTCTCGGGCAATGGCCTAGCCTCCTACCGGCCTCTGTTAACCTCGATCTAGGTACACACGATCTATCTCTCCCACTTTAAACTATTTACACCATCGGGCGAGATTGTCCCTCTCGCATTAAACGCCCCGTTCAATTGCACCAATGGTACGTCGGAGTCGGGGTCGAGTCTAGGCCTCGGTACCACTTTGCCAATCCGTTACAACGGGAATTAATGAAAGCACTTCGACATCCCTTTCGTCGATTGTCCTCCGCTCCTCGGTATATTTCTCGCGGTTTTCCTTTCTATATCAGTTTGCCGTCTCGATTACAACTTGATGGCCTCAAGGTGAACAACCTCCAATGGGGTCGGAGGCTCTTATCTCACGAGCACTTGGGGATAGGCCTTATCGGCCGAGTTTTTCGTTTTATAACAGACTGTTATGCGAAAAATATCTTGATGCTTGTGTATCACGCGCGTTGCCCCACAGCCAACAATTTATATTTTGGAAAATTTTAAACAATTCAATCAATTAATGAAGAATATTGGTAAAAATTTTCTCGGAGGAACTGATAAGAGCGTTGAGTTTTTCCGAGCGAATGTCATTTAGCAGAAGTAAATAAATTTAGCGGAAGTATTTTATTCATCGTTGAGTGAAGCCGTCGGAGAAATTATGATGAATCGAGGAGTCACGGTCCAGGGATATGAAAGTAAAAGTGGTTGGGGCCCAGGCAGGTGAAAGGGAAGTGGAATTTGTGTACACACGCGAGAGAAGAGGCCCCACTCTCATTATAACCTCCTAACTGATTTCTTCTTTCGCTTTTCATTGGCTTTCCCTCTCGGTCAGTGGAAATTTACATTTTTCACTCGTACTGGTCCACTTTCTCCGGATGACTCCCACTCATTATGCAATTGCATTATGCCAAGCGATTGTCAATGCAATTGGAGTAAAAAGGCGGTGGATACGTGCACTGACCCCATTAGGAATGTACTTAACGCGTTTTATTCGGCGGAAATTCGAACTAGTGCCTGGTACGAGGAGCCGCTGCTTGGGTCTGTCAATATAGGGTGAGAGGTTGCCCAGGGCAATGACTCCTGACCCACCGGTGCCTCAAATCCCTCATCTCCATCGACCTCCATTCACCAAAATTAATACATCATCTAAACCATTATCCACATTAATAGTCATTGCGAGTATTAGGCATTTCTATAAACTTTCTACTAGTACAAGCGATGAGAATAAAATTCATTTCGGGTTTTCATTAAAATCAATTTTTTCACAATAAATAATCCTTTCTATGACTGTATAACACCCATTAACCAATAGGTCATGTCGATTAAAAGATCTGGATAAATAGAATGTAAAAAAAATTAAACTTACGAAATAGCGAATGTAGGCTGACCTCCCCCGGGACATCGAGCTGGCCTAGTTTTCATGTGCCACCCTAGCCGGTCAATGAACTCATGACCTCGACGCTCACCCCCGCTAACCAACCACCCACCCACCCACATTAAATAGTTCTCTAGAGCATGGCATATGGATATTTGAGCTTGCATCCTGATTACACGGCCAAAAAAAATATTAGAAAAATTACACGACACGGGAAAAACATTTAGAAACAATTCAAAATATTTGTCGCACACGTTCAATTACAAAATTTCTCGAAATTCCAGCATTAAACTTTACAAAAAAGCGTAGCGAAAGGTTAAATGCATTCACATGGTTTTAGAGAAGGTTTGCCAGCAGTAAATTTTCCATTTCTCCCAATTTTTTTTTCCAATATTATATTTAGCGCAATAAAACGGTGGGGATTTTTCGAACGGTCGTGCCACTAACTCCGAAATTACTCCGTTCGGGGTCCCGTTGGGAAAATGTGCTCGCAACACTTTACCGTTTTTTTTTTGCACAGACCAATCGTAGCCCTAATGCACAGTCATACCGATTTTTATTACAAGAGGGGAAAATTTACGGTGAAGAGGTTGAGCAAAAAATCGGCCTTTAAGCGTCTAATCCTTTGGAATAACGCCTTTACTCTTTTACGACGGACACTTCCTAGTTTTATGGAAAAATTCGGATGGGATTCCCCTTTTTTCCAAACGGACATTTCTAAACAACCGCCATGTACAACCCTAGGCAATTTATTTCTTGAAAAACCCCGTTAAAGGCACGCGGGGGACGAAGTCACTTCTCGACCCCTTTTTATTTTTATTACTCACCCTTTTGCCTTTTTAAGGGGTACAGTTATTAAGGCACATGGTCAGCAGAAGGTGAAAGGTCCCGTAGACATTTACCCTCTGAATTTTTCCTGAAAAACCCTCTTCCATCGTCTCATAAATAAAGGACTACGGAAAAGATTTTTCCACGGAGAAATTACAACTCTTCCGTTTCTGGGCCCAATAAAGTCCCGAAAAATCTCTTCGGAGGATTTTTATTTTTTCGCAGACAAGGCTGTCAAGTTGTACATAATAAATTCCTCTTGAACTAAAAATATCTAAAAAAAAAAAAAAACTATTGATTTTAGAAACAATCATTAAGGAACTTTTTTCTAGCAGAAATTGATTAAGCTACGAAAAAAAAATCCCATAACACTTGGATCTCGGATCAATAATTTTCGAGAGAAATCGATTTGAAATGGTTAAAGTGCGATGACGAATTTTGGGCAAATTTCGCCGAAATTTCGAATAGTTAGAGGGAAAAATCAATGGAGCGTTGTAAATTGGAAAACTGGGGAGATGGTTTACCTGAATATGTGAGGTAGTGGAGCAGAGCTACGGGGTCAACGCTGCATTCGCGCTCCAAAAACCGATAAAGACAAAGTGAAAGAGAAAAATCAAAGTCGACAAAGGACCGACAAAAATAGGGTCGTCGATCGCATTTCAGGTTGCATCGAATTCTCCGATATTTCTCGGATGTATTTTTGTGATAGTTGTCCAGAATATTCGGAATCATCAAATACAAATGGGAAATACCGGGTGCACCGACCCCACAGCATCAATTGGGTCGCTGACTAAGATCGATAATTCTTCTCTGATTTTCGTTCACCCGAAAACATTATCTCTCAACAACGCCCCATTTCCATTCCATTCCATTGTAATAATTTCCACGGCAATTTCGCCTGAAATTGCGTCTCTAATCCCCAAATTCAGGCCAG